CCCCCCGGGCCGCTGCCCCTCGGTCCTGCCTGGGGAGAAGGTGTCAGGCAAAACGATTAAATGGCCGCCTGCCTAACGAGGGGGCGACAGTTGCATTCACGCTGATCCGAGGCAGCAATTACCTCAGAACAGGGATGGGGGAGGGGGATCACCGGCCCCACTCAATTACCTTAATTGAATTCCAATATCTGCCTCGAGCTGTCTTGACCTGCCGCGTCGCCTCCTAACTGCTACTTAAAAGGAAGCTAATCAAAGTGAACGTCTCCCTTTCCACACTCGCACTATCGAGTCCCCCTGCACACCGATCCGAGGCAGCAATTACCTCAGAACAGGGATGGGGGAGGGGGATCACCGGCCCCACTCAATTACCTTAATTGAATTCCAATATCTGCCTCGAGCTGTCTTGACCTGCCGCGTCGCCTCCTAACTGCTACTTAAAAGGAAGCTAATCAAAGTGAACGTCTCCCTTTCCACACTCGCACTATCGAGTCCCCCTGCACACCGGCCAGGGAGAGGAGCAGGAGCGCACACCTCCAGCGGGATGGCGCCGGACGTGCCAAGAGCGGGACGGCAGAGAGACGGCAGAGCCGGGAAAGGCATCTTAAACCCGCCCTGTCAGAGGAGCGGCCATACGGAAAAGCTGGCAAGCTGCCCTCCACGGCTCTGTGCCGTCGGCAGCCAAGGCACAAACAGGCATTGCAAATCATTAAAAACATTTCAACAAGACCCATCCGTGAGTCTGTCCAAGTGATTCCATGTGTCCTCCGCATGCAATCGGAACCAGGCCCCCGCAAGGGAGTTAAGTGTGAAGGGGCGGCGTCAAGAGTCGCAGCCAAAGCTTTGATCTACGTTAGAGGCCGTTTGGGCCAAATCCCACTTCAAACCGGCCGACCAGTCTCTGAGCTGAAGAGCCGCCGTTTTCGTGGGAAGCACCCCTGTTAGCGAGAGCTCCACGTGAACAGCCACTCACAAGGATGATGTTCTTACAAACCAAGAGGAGCCGTTAAGGACGATGGGAAGAACGGAGCCTTGGCTGAATCCAAGTGGCAGAAGCAGTCCAGCGGAAGTTACACGTGCAGCTCAAGAGGGCACCGGGAATAATTCCTTTACAACACAAGTGTTCGGGTTGATTCTTGGCAAGTCAGGCTCGCAGCGGACCCCGTGGTTAGCTCCACCAGACACAAGGACTTCTGTACAGGTAGGAGCGGCATGTTTGTAGTCCACTATGGCACATTCCGCCAGGGGGTTGAGTAAATAAAGCCTGCAGCACAGCAGTTGTGAGGCCTATTTTGAGGCCCGACCAAGCAGAACAATTAGCCGAAATAGCTCTATCGCTGCTAGAAACAATTAAAACTCCGGCCGTGTTCAACTTTCGGTATCTTAGCGATAAACCCCAGGCACATTTCCACGAGCAACTTAATGCTTGGAACATCAAGTTGCTCGTATTTACAGCACATTTCTCGTAAACAATACACCAGAGACATACCTGATCTCAGGGGGCTAGAAGAAAGACCAGCACATCCAGGCCAATTAAAAACGAACAAACAAATCAAGAACCGTGCCCAATTTCAGAAAGGCTGGGCAAGTTTTCCATATTGCGCCGCAATATTTATTTGCGGAAAACGGACTATGTAGGGGTTGGGTTTTTTAAAATTGCATTTTGACTGATCTCCATGCCTTGGTCTGTAGCAGCGACCTTATCACCGGCTGCTAAAAGGAGAATTCAGTCCCTTTTTGGTGGCTGATGAGGCTCTGACAGGAGAGTAACAAGTGACGTTCTAAGAAACCTCACGCCATTCAAACCCGCCTCTAGGACCAGTCACAATGCTTAGAGGCGAGAGGGGACACAGGATTGCCCCAAAACCGCTGCCCTGGGCTACGGAGACATGGCCCCTGCCCCAAATCGGTTTTCTGAGGCCAAGACAGCCTTGCTCCAATGGAGACTGACAATTAGTAAGGTGCTGCCAAAGCCTTCCAGCCCATCAGTAGATTTGCAAGCCGCCATTCTTCCAAGCCAACCAAGTGCAGGGTTGTCTCTGGCCGCGGTAAATGATAGGAATAAAAGGGGTATACACACGGTAAGAGGCAGATTGGGAAGTCCACGTACCCCGATGATAGCATTCAGCTCTGTCATTGTCACTTGCTTGGCACGCTCAACAGCCTGCGCCACCTGCTGTTGGTGCTAAGGGAACAAAAAGGCGCATTAGAAATCGGGACGGTTCCTGACAGGCTGTAAAGGAAGAGCCAAGGAAGCCTGGAAAGCCACTTCAAGAGGCGAAAGGCCTCAGCAGCCTGCCAACACTTGACCTGGCAGGTTTCCCCCGAAAACCACGTGCTAAGGACTGATTTCAGAGGGAGCTGACTCCAAACGACCCGCCGGGGAGCTGCGCTGGTACCGAACAGCACACAGAGCTGGGCACTATGCCAGTATCTCCTGACCATGCACCGGCTCCATGACCTCTACTGAGCACAGGCTGACAGTCTTCCCACATTGCAGTACGGGCTGAACCTCTCTGGTCCGGCAACATCCGTGGCCCGGCATGATTTGCGTTAGCTGGTGCCTATTTATCGTGGGTAGGGCCAAATTTCCATAAAGTTTGTTACAGCCCCCAGTCCTGGTGCTCGGCGTTCTGTGCTGTTATTTGGCTCTAATTTACCCCTTTAGTGTCTTCTAGGAACCCAGCAAGCTGTGCAAGTGTTGAGGATACTGCTAGACAATATCAACCTCCTCTGGTCCAGCAAATTCTCTGATTCAGCACCCGTCGAGGCCAGACTAGAGAGGTTCAACCTGTCGTTGGGGAAATAGCTACAATGTGACTCAACCAGTCCAGGCCCTTTTTCCACTCGTGCCAGGAGTCAAAATCTGAACCAGAGTCTAAGGACTTGCAGCACAAAGCATGTCCCAGCTAGCCTAACCTCCCCTTGCTCCAAGAGGACTTTCCAAATTGTTCTCACCAATATCAGCACTATTCAAATGGACGACAATCACAACAACAACAACAGTTCACAGATGTTCCCTTACCTCTTGTGACAGAAAAGGCATGATTTGAGCTAGAATTGTGTTCAATCGTTTAGCAATCTCCGTCTAAAAAAAGAAAAAAAAGACAAAAGCATTTAGTGTAGTCAAAAATCTCCTTATGTGGACATGCCAGAAATAGGAACGCATTTTAAGACAATGAATAAGACTTCAGAATTATTTTTTAAAAAGCAATTTTCATCTCCAACATCTACCATTTTCCCCTCTTTGGGTGTGTCTAGACTACAGGGTTTTGTCGACAAAAGTGGCCTTTTGTCGACAATACTATATCTGGATCTACACTACTGCCGAAAACTCGGCAGTTTTGTCAACTGCGGTAAACCTCATTCTATGAGGAAGAACGCCTTTTGTCAAAGTTCTGTCGACAGAAGGGGTTATTGCATCTACAGTCCTTTGCGTCTACACTTTGAGTCGACAATGCGGCTTGCTTTGTTGACAGAACTGGATGTAGTCTAGAGGCTCTTTGTCGACAGAAGCTTTGACAGTATCTGTCGACAAAGCCTCGGTCAACAAAAGCCTGTAGTTTAGACGTACCCTTTCTTCCCGCCTTCCATAGATCATACATCATAATAAGAAGCAAATTTTTAAAAGGCGTCTAGAGCACACAAATACACCTTCTCTAAATCCTTCAGGCCAGGTCTTTGGCAAGCTTTGAATTCCTTTTCTAGACAGGAACTAAATGATGCCAAACAATATTGGGATAAACTGAACCAGTTTCATGTCTGTTTTTTTTATGGTGGTCTCAAAAAAAAAAAAAAAAAAACCAAACCCACAGCACCTATCTGGTTAAAACACAGATGTGATCCAAATCATCAAGTGAGCACGTGAAAAAGGATCTCTGCGTCATTTTTATATCCATCTCCCTGTTGCTGCTGCTCAGACATGGGGTTACTCTGGCAGAAGAGTAACAAGACGGCAAAATCCAGAGACGTACGAGACCCCGTGACCACCAGTTAAAGAAGTGAGATTGTAAAGTATCAAAGACAAACTTGGTTTTATTCGCACTTTTGCAATTAAGCCTCATTGCAGCACCAAGTTGAAAACCTTGTCCATTTATCTAAGCGCCTACCAAAACAGCTAATCACTACGGCATTTCTCGACTCATCAATTGGCATTCTCCACTCATCTGTTCACTTTAGCTTATTACTTTATGTGAGAGGGTGCTTTTGCATTCAGAGAGCTTATACACCAATTCCAAACCGGAAGCGGGTTGAGCTCTTCGGCTTGACAGAATGCAGATTTCTGTCAACGGTTCTGCACTTTTGGAAGAAGTTTGCTTAGGACAGTTCGTTTCTTTCAAATGTAAAATGAATTCTGCGCTCTCAGCTTGACAGTGCATTCGGATCATGACGGAGCCGCGCTACTGGTTTCCAAAAATTATAGGCTTTTCCTTCCTGCACTGATGGTTGGCCAGGGATGACTCTTGGACAGTGGGCTGAACGCCCTACGTCTTACTCTGACTTAAAAAAAAAAAAAAAAAAAAAAAGTTGAGATCATTCTAGTTCATTCTGCAGCCCTTCTATCCCATTCAAGAACTTGAACCCAAAGCCGTTTGCACCTGTCAGCTGACCACAGAACTCCGAGGGTTAATAAGAATGTTCTCCACCGTCAAGTTGTGGTTTTTGCAAAAATCTCTCTCCACCTAAAATAACTTACTCATGCGAAAAACCTAGATTCCCTATGAGTCAGCAATTCATATTTTCACCTTAAAACGTTCTAGGTCTGACTCCGCACTGAGGTCCCTTTGCTCTGCTCTGGCATCGAAAAGCGACCTTCAAATGAGAGCGAATGTAACGTGCCTCCCCATTTGTCAGCGGAAAGGGGCCCTAAGCAGTTGATCTTAAAATAGCAAAGAAGTAGGCCTCAGCCACGGTTTAAGACCCAGACGACAGACTTCAAGCTCTCCAGAAAGGAGAATACGAGCTTTAACAGGGTCCAAGAGAGAGCTGGGTAAGTTCATGGAGGCTAGGCCCCTCAATGGCTGTTAGCCAGGATGGGTAAGGATGGTGTCTGAGCCTTGGTTTGCCAGAGGCTGGGAATGGGCAACGGGGGGGGATCACGTGAGGAGTCCCTGTTCTGTTCCCTCCCTCTGGGGCATCTGAACATAAGAACGGCCGCACTAGGTCAGACCAAAGGTCCATCTAGCCCAGTAGCCTGTCTGCTGACCGTGGCCAGCATTGGTCATCTGGCATTGGCCACTGTGGGCAGACAGGACACTGGGCTGGACGGACCTTTGGCCTGACCCCGTAGGGCTGCTCTTCGCTTGGCATTGAACATCAGAAGTTGCAGAACAGAAAATCAATCAGGCGTTGCCTTAGCTTTCCAAACGTCTGCGCCGACACCCAGCACAGACTCTGGGCTCGAGTTCAAGGGGAAACCAGACTGCTTAACTACCACCAGACCGTGCGGCCATAGGAGCCCACACCGAAGAGCTGCGGGCGCCCCGATATCAACACAGCGGCAGCGAAAGCGGGTGGCGCCACGACAGGTTCCGTCCAGGCGGAAAAGCTCCAGGGAACAATTTGCAGAAGGTCTACACCCCATTTCCAATCGTGACACCTCAAGGAGCTAGGCACCCAAGGGAAAGACAACGTGGCTTCCTCCTTTTGGGAAACTGCACAATTCCAGCTGCAGGGATCCGGGATGGGCCAATGCAGTGCTCCCGTACCAAGGGGGCGGCTCACCCAAATAGGTACGTTCAGTGCCTACAGCACTGGACCCGCCCCCCAGGCACGTGGCCGACTCAAACAGCAGGATGACGGAGAAGGGCCACAGCAAAACCCTGCAGCAGAGATGCTGTCTCCCGTCCCTGGTCCACCTCCCCAACGTGTACACCTTGCTCAGCAGAAGGGCCATGCTGCAGGCACCTTCCTTTGCGTTGAGGGGATGGGATCCCATTCCCAGGACAGCGATGGCTCCCCGATCCGGCTGCCCGCCCCGCGGGCCTAGGAAACTTGCAGTAACAGAAAACGACACCGGTCAGTCACCGATAATACGATTGCCTCCCTACGGGAAAGACACTCTAGCACTGCAACCCCGAGGGGGCACGGGAGTTCTCCAAACAAATGCCCATCCGGATTGCAGGGGAGACGGGGGAAGCCCCGGGCTCCGAGGGGTAACAGCAGCAGCCTTGCCCATGGAGACAGCTGTTAAAGCAGCTGTTGATCCAACCCAAACATGGTCGGCCCATCAGTAGGAACTCAAGAAATAGGGCTTCGACAGCGGAGGCTGGAGGGACGCACGCGCTGGACCACGATCAAAGATTGGAAAATTCCTTTTGATAGTTCAGAGCCGCTTGCTATCAAACAGGAATGACTAATTAGGCCAGTATGCATCTCTCCCCTCCCCCTCCGCTCAACAAGCTGCTCCTTCGGCAACAAGATGGGCCCGAAAACATACCTCCGCCCTGAGGAAGCAACGAAGGCAGCCAGGAATCGACGCATGTTCTAGAATCGCCCTGCCCTCCCACTCCCCCCCGCCCGTCTTCCAGAAAACTCACCATCCGCCCTCCACCTACAGACTCAGCCCACGGACCTTCCATCTAGCAAAAGCTTTTCTAAGGCCCTGGCTTAGAATCTAAGCACTTATAATTAAGAACATAAAAGCTGTTCGAGTATCAGGCCCACCAAGCCCCAGCATCCGGTCTCTAAGAGCAGCCAGTACCAGAGCGTGTACGGAACACGGGAAATTTGGAAAGATCCATCCACAAGTTTTCCCCTCCCAGTTCCTGGCTGTCAAGAGGTTAGGGTCACCCCGAGCTTTGGGGGACATCCCTGACCATCTTGGCTAACAGCCAGCTGTCCTCCAGGAATCTCTCGAGCTCTTTTTCACCCAGTTATACTTTGGTCATTGCGTCATCCCATGGCAATGAGTTCCACAGGTTGTGCATTGCGTGCCAGATCACTGCCTCTTGTTTGTATTACACCGGTTGCCTATTAATTGCTTCTGCTGAGCCCTGACCCTTGTATTGTGGGAAAAGGTAAATCAAGCTTCTCCATTCACTTTCTGCTCCCCCCCATTCATGATTTTTATAGCCCTCCACCATATCCCCTTTTAGCTGATGCTTTTCTAAACCCACCAGCCCTAATCTCTTAAGTCTCTCCGCCTGTGAAAGCTGCCCCACCCCCGGCTCGTTTTTTGCCCTTCTCTGAACCTTTTCCAGTTCCCCCAGAATCCTTTTTAGGACTGAGCATCCAGACACCGACAGTACTCACAGCATGGGTGCACCCTGGATTTATACAGGGGCATTCTGACATTTCCCATCTGACTTTTTCCTTTTCCTCGTAACCGCTCCTGACATTTGATTAGCCATATTGATTGCTCCTGAGCGGAGAGAGTGTCAGAGCACTTCCCCAGGAGGGCACCAAGAGCCGTGTCTTGAGGGTGAGGTCCCAGTTAGCTGTTACCGCTCCATTATGTGTGTACAGTAGGAAATAAGGTTCCCAACGGGCCTTGTTTTGCTCTGATCGACACGGCATTCATTACATTGGCTATGTTCTTGCCCCGTCACCCAGCTTTGGGAGAGCCCTTTGCCAGCAGCTTTGGACTGAACGATCTGCACACTTTAGCATTTCACTGGTCACGTCTTTTCTAAGCCATTAAGGAGTATGTTGAAGAGCACAGGAGAAGTCTTTCAGGGACCTCCCTGTTTGCCATCTCCATTGTGAAAACGGATCATTCAGTCCTACCCTTTGTCCCCTACCTTTTTAACCAGTTTACCGATCCGTGACAGGACCGAACCCAGTGTCTCTTAAACTGTGTTCCGTGGCACGCTGGTTGGAGGTGTGCCGCGGACAACAACAGAGTTCAAAATGGCTGCCCTGACAGGGGCAGGGGACTTTTTTTTTTGCTCAACAAAAAAGCCTTGGTGTTCCTCATTAAAAAAAAAAAGATTGTTTGGTGTTCCTCAGTCTTAAAAAGTTTGAGAAACACTGACCTAACCTGTTAGCCAAAGATGTTTACTTTGCTTAAGAGCCTTTGGTGAGGGACCATGCCAAATACTTTCGGAAAATTCAAATACACTACAGCCACACTGTTGTCCATATGCT